TTTTAAGCTCAGTTCTAATAGCTGCAAAAGATTCTATAGTCTGCCATATATGTTTGGTCTAACCATTATTATCTTGGTCTTCTGCATAACTGTAGTAGTTTTTTATCTAATTTATATTATACAATTTTATAGAAAATTTATATTAAAAGCTCTTATTAATAATAATTGTTTGTTATATTTTTGCAATACTATAAAAAGAGCTTAAAAAAAATATAAATAATAGTAGATAATATATTAAAGTAATCTTTATTTGAAATTAAATTTTCTAATTTATATTTTTTTAAATTCAAGTATGAATATAAATTTTTTTAGTTTTTTCTTAAGAGTAAAGCTTTTTTTAAGTTATATAAGATATTCATTAATTAATCTATTAAATTTATTAAATTCAAATTTTTTATTTTTATTATTATTTTTTAATAATTAATTTGCTTAAAAACTTTACTGTTTTTGTTTTTGATAAATTTTATCTATTGTTTTATTATTACAAATAGTTAATAATAAAGATATCTAAAATAAAAGTCTTTTTTGTAGTTTATAATCATCTAAATTTGCAATTGATATTAACTATTTTTTAATAACCTTAAAATATTACTAATATTATCTTAATGTTTTTAATTTACATATTTAAGATTTTTAAATTTACAGAGCCTTTCATACTGATATCTACTATTTTGTTAGAAATATTCTAAGCAGATATAATATAAATAATTATTAAAAAATAATTTTTGTAATATGTATATTAAAAATACAGAATTATAAATATAAATACAAAGTAATTAAATATTTGTCTACTTACATTCTACAAATATTGTATACAATAGCTATTATAATTAAAAATATTTTTCTTATTACAGAAAATACAAATACCAAAATAAATAATACTCTTGTCAATTAAGTATAACTGCTTTATACCTGGTTTATACAATTTATTCTGATTAAATTAAAAATAACTATAGTATACACCAAGTTGATTAAGAATATATATATATTCTTCTTATATTTCTACTGTTTTTATATTTACTATAAATTTTTTATACTTTAGTTTTGAATATTTATGATTATTTATCTGACAAACTCTTATAATTATAAATTGTTATCTGTTTTATTATTTTTTTATATATTATAATATTATTATATTATTTAAATTAAAACTTAGTTGATAGTCCCTACCAATTGTAAACATAAATTGCCAGATAATACCAATATTAGACAATTTGTCAAATATGATAATTTGACTTAACCAAGCAAATGATTAGTATATGTGCTGTAAAGCAGTATATATTCATTTGTCCTAGTTTGTCAAATTACTATTATTTAACAAATTTTGCTCAATATTGTATATATATGTATCTGTTTTTCATATTTTTATTATTTGTCTTAATTACTATAAATTTATGATACTATTACAATATTTTATTTTATTTTGATTATAATTGATAATTATACATAAAATAAAATTTAGAATTTGTACAAAAGTTTCTTCAATTTTTATATCTGTTTTATAATTTGCTGTTAATAAAAATTCTTCAGAGTAGTTAAAATTTTCAGATTTAATTTTGTTAAAATTAATAATTTATTTTTATAATCATTATTATTATGCAATAAGACCTGTGTATTTTCAAAAACTATTGGATTGATAGGAAAAGTTTTTTATAATTTTTTTTCTGAAAAATTGAATTGCTCTAAGTAGTTCAAAATTAGTTATTTTTGTTAAATATATTTTATAAACTAAATAAAAATATAATTTATTTAATAGTTTTGTAAATTAAATAATAGTTGGATTGTTCTTTAAAAGAAATAAATTGATATATTGCAAGATTTTTTTAACAAGAATTGATGTCTAGAGTAGCAAGATGATTTAATCTTTTTTTTCTCAAATTTTGATATTACCCTATTTTATAAATATATTTATTTACTAATTATATTTTTATTTTATATAATAGACAAAAAGTTATAATACAATAGCAATTTGATTAGTCTTTCTAATTTTGAAACATTTTACTAAAAAAAACAGATTGTATTAAAATGAAACATTTGTGAAATATATTAATTGAACAAAAAAAATGTTTATTCAGATGAAACCTTTTAGAAACACACAATAATTGCACAACTTCATTAAATATATTGCACTTTCATGTAATAATATCTATTTGTAAATGATTTGAGTATGTCAAGTATGTGTATATTACTTTGAATATATTATTTAAGACAAAAGGTCAATTTTTAACATAGATATTTATGTGATTGGCTAATTTATCAAAAAATTCATAACATCAAAGAATTTAATAAATCGATATATAACCTTATATGATCTTACAGAAGTGTGCATTATTTCAAAGCTTATAGTATTATCTCAAAATTATACAAACTACATGAAGGTATATGACTTTATTAATAATGCTCATATTTATTATTTTGCAATAATACATTATTTATTAAGAAAGGATTATAAAATTAGTTAATTCAAGGCAATAAATTTTGAATAAAAAAATAAAACTAAATAATTTTATATCTTTAAATTTGAGGTCTTTATTTAATAAAATATTATTTTTATTATTTCTAATATAAAATATTTCTAGTATGAAACAAACAAAATTCTAAATATTTAAAAAACACAGTAACAAAATATAAACCTCATAATGAAATCTAAATTATATAATGAAATATGAACTATATAATGAAATGTAAATACTCATGAAATGCAACTCATATATATGGTCAAAATTGTTTTGGCTTGTATTGAAACTATTATACAAGTCACTCTCGTTATAGTAAAGTGATCCGTTCCATAGTAAAATTTTTTAAGAAGTTCATTATATCGGGAGGTTATTAGTAAATTCACTATATCGAAAAGATTTTTATATAGACTGGTTTGGGATTTATCTTCACTATACTATAATGAGAGTTCACTATAACGAGAATACCTTGTATATAGTTTTTTTTTTTCAAAAAAAATGCATTGTCATAATATTGGACAAACAAGCTACACAAGTTTGATTCTGTCTTCAAACCTTCTAATTTATTATATTACGCTAATAGAATATAGCATTCGGGAATACCTTCAGAAAATTTAGGATGTAATCCATTATGCACTTGAAAGCCAAAGTTTTATCATATTCAATATCATAATGAGGTAGTATTCCTATAGATAATTCACCTATTGACAAACTATTTTTTTATACTATTACAAGCAAACACGAATTACAATCCTGTAGTAAACGAAAAATACTGATTTAGTAAAGTTATAAAACAAGCACCTTTTATATATAATATTTGAATCTCTAACAACCAATATTAGTATTGATAAAATTGGCTTCAGGCAAACTGCCTTTAGTGAAAAATTCTAAGAAATCGTGTTGTTAGACAAGAGAATTAAGAAAATTGAGCTGTCGAGGAGGTCATTGCTGTAAAATCAAACAGAACTATATAATATTACAGGAGTTAGTATACTTAAGCCTTAATGAAGATTTTAGTTAAACTAGAAGGAGTTAAAATCGAAGCTTGGTTCTATAGTTTTGATTTAAAAAATGATAGTTGAATGGCTTACAAATTTCAGATTGTCATAAAAAAAACCTTCTGCGAGGATAAAATTTTTATCCAAATTGTTATATAAACAACATTTGGAATCTCTGTAAAAGGAAATATTCTGTTACTGATATATATATATTGGTTTAGGGTCAAATCAAATCAAACTTTAGATCAAGTTTAAATTTAATTTGATTTCAAATCAAACTCAATCTCAAACATTTCAAAAAAAAATATTTGAATTTGATTTGATGACTAACTTTTTAGTTAAGTTTGATCTGATTTGAAATTTGGTTCAAAGTTTGCAAACAAGTTTGAGTAGTTTGAGTTTGATAAAATTCCAAAATAAAATTTTTTAAAAAATATTTATTTTTGATGCGGGATATATTGTATGCAGGTGTGTCATATGTAGTAATATCAACTTAATTAATTTTAGCTAGTATTAGAGCCCGTTATCATATGACAGGCTAATTGTTATAGAATAAACACTACAAACGAATGTTGCAAAGACCGTTATATGTATAATTAGACAATTGGGCTATATATATTATATGTCATTTCTCAATTCTGTTAATTATTAATTGAATAGTATGGTGTTTTCAACAGATATTGGTATAAATTTATGATTAATAAAGAAATTATTATGACGCACTTAAACTTATATGTATGTTCAAATCAATATATGTTTCGCATCATTTTTTAATTTATTTTAATTATTAATGCTATATTTTATTTTTAAATTAGAAAATGATATAGGACATTTTGTAGTAAATATAATTTTAAAAAGTAATTATAGCAATTTGATTAAACATATGTGTATTCAATGAAGTATAATCAAAATTTTATATACATATGCAAAATATTTTAAATATAATTGCTTTAACAAATAGAACGTATCCATGTCATCTTGAGTATAGCAAATTTTTCGATAGTAGCTTAATTATAATTTGTAGCAATTTTCTCCAATTCTATTATAGTTGGAATTTTTTAAATATTTATATGAATATTTTAGGTTAAAAGTGTTTTAAATATTATGAACTACTTCAAACAAATACAATAAGATAATCTTAAGTAAAATTTTAATACTTTTATTCTTTAGTATGATCCAACAGCATGATATATTTAGTTATCTAAGTAAAGTCCTGAAGAATGAAATTCTTTTAAATAGTGAATATTACACTTATTTAGAACTAGGAATGAAAATATTATATTCTTAAAAACTACTTTAAAGATTAGCTAGCCAATAGATTTACCTTAGTTGAGCAAACAAAATTCTTTTCTAAATAAGTATTTACTTGAAGTTGCAACTTCAATTGCATGGCACAAAGTTACTAACCAATTTCAGGAGCAAATTCTAGTCAATGCAACTCTAAGTGCTGAAGTTGAAACTTCAAGCAGATGCTAATTTCAATTATAGCATCCTTAGATTTGAGACAGCAAAAAAAAAAAAAAAAGGAAATTCAAAAATAATTAGTATGGTATTGGTAGTGTTGTTAGACAAAACAAAAAATAAAAACGAAACTTATTTAAAGAAAAAACCTCACATGAAGGTCGAAACCTTAAAGCCTTCTATAAAACTTGCAAAAGATAAACTCACACAAAAAAACTTCTCGTAGAAGATTTAAATTTCTGATAAAAGTCAAAGTTTCTATGAAAGTATTAAAGGCTATGCATAGTTTGGATATGAAGTAATTATTTTCTAATTATCGGTAACAGTAACAACTTTTACAGAAAATTGCGTTGTTATAATAAAACCTATATTATTGGCAAAACTGTGAAAAGTTTACTAAAGATAATAAAATAAAAACAAAGCTAGTTACTAATTGCTAATACCAAAATTATATAAAACCCACACTAAACTAAAAAACAAAACCTGAACTTAGAAAAGACAAAAGACAAAACCTCTCACTTTTGAAATTGTGATTCATCTAATGCTGAATTCATAATCATCACTGCTAAGATCACAAACCCATTTATTGTTAAAATTATAAATCTTTCTACTGTTGAAACTATCAAACATCAACTAATATCTATTTACTTATTAGAATCATTTCAATTTAACTACTTTATTATGTTTAGCATTAGACATTACAAAGAAAATAATATTGTTAGTAATGTGCAAAAGATTAAATAAATTATATAGATAGTTGTTTATCTGACAGGCCACTTACCCAATATCATATAGGGTTAGGGTTGGCATTTGATTAGCTGCAGAATAATTTAAATACTTTGAAAAAAATAATTAAAGTAATATACGATCGGTTCTGCTATTGCTGTTGAAAAGAAATTAACCTTATTACAAATAATAACTAGAGTGATATTTTAAATAAATTTATTGAAAACAATTTAAAAACATATAGAAACCTCCTGTTCACTGTCATTACAGGCACTATCTTTAACAACTATATTATTTTCCTAAAACAATGCTACTGGAACTAAATTATAACAAGACTTAACTTTCCTATAATTTTTAAGTATATAGAGAAAGCTACGTATGTACGTACGTATGAAAAAAATCAATTTTATAATTTAAACAATTGGTTTTTGCAGATATGCATGTAAGCGTATGTAGTATAAAATTAGGTTATGAAATCTATCCAAATCTGTGTAAATGGCTAGTGTATTTTCTAAGACAGGCAAGACCTTCTAATTCTTTCAAGAATTCCTGAATTACATCTCTATCACAAATTTATTGAAAATTTTAAATTTAAAATTAATTGTTTAAAAAAAAAAAAAAAAAATTTTATTGTATAATAATTTTGATACAAGAATTGCTAGTTTGTTATAAAAAAGTCTACCTATTCTGATAGATCTATTAACTTTCTTTTAATGGCCCCCGTGCTTATGACCACAGATATTGTGCTGCTCTTACTTTTTAGGTGCTAATCTAGAACTATTATTTGTAATCATATTTTTGCCTGCAGAAAAGGCATGCTCAGAAGCTACAGAGGATGCAGAAATTGACAAGTAATCATGAGCCATATGAGCAAAATGAGGAAACTGTATTTCATATGCCTAAATATTATATTAATATCAATATATACTATCTAAGTGAATATAATTTACTATTGTTACCTTCCACTATATTAAAACATTCATTTCTTTACTTGCTAGCTTTTCAAAGATATAGTATTCAAGTTCATCAAAGTTGTCATCATCCTTATCAAAGTCTGCATCTAACAACAATCGCGTTGTTGGTTTTATATTAGTGCTAATGCTTGAAAGGTTAATATTAGATAAAGTAGCTGATGTATATTCAGTTTCATAAAGATAGCATATTCTAAAAAATAAAATTTCTGATTATATTACAATCAAAAATTTCACAACGCTAGACAAGCTAAAGCAGCTACTAAAAGTTGAAAAAGACTACTAAAAAAATGGACATACAGGGTTTTTGTTTCATTAATCTCATCATCGGAAAATTCTTTTTTTAAAAAATAATGGTATTTTCTTCTTGGATCTAAAGCCGTATAGAGCATTACTGTTGTGTTTGTTTTGGAGTAATATTGAACCAGTTTTTTCTTTGCTGCCGTAGTTGTAGCGGAGAGTGGAGCTAACAATTGATCTTGTTTATTATTTTTTTTTTTGGTATTAAGGTGAGGCCTTGCTCGTATCTTTATTAGTAATTTAAAAATAGTAACTACATAGTGACT